GAAAACAACTGCAGTTCATCGCAAGGATTGGTCTACCAAACTTGACGACGCATTATGGGCATATCGAACAGCATTCAAGACGCCATTAGGAACAACACCATTCAATCTAGTTTATGGAAAAGCATGTCACCTTCCAGTAGAACTCAAGTATAAGGCGCAATGGGCTATCAAGGAGATGAACATGAACCTGAAAACAGCTGGAGAAAGAAGACTACTTCAACTTCACGAGTTAGAAGAAATCCGACACAATGCTTACGAAAACTCGAAGATCTACAAGGAGAAGACTAAAGCATATCATGATAAGAAGATTATTCATAGAACTTTTGCTCCTAACGATAAGGTACTTCTTTTCAATTCTCGTCTTAAGCTTTTTCCAGGAAAATTACGTTCAAGATGGTCAGAACCCTTCACGATAAAGGAAGTCAAACCATACGGAGCCATTGTCCTGTGGGACAGAACCGGAAACTCATTTACAATGAATGGACAGCGTGTAAAGCCATATCTGGCTGAAGAAACAGAAGACGAAAGAGAAGTAATGTTTTTGATTGATCCATCATCGGCCAATGATGAGATCAAGGAGTGTGACGACCCCGGTTAAGTCTAATCCAACAACAATGTCAAGCTAACGACTTGAAACAAGCGCTTAGTGGGAGGCAACCCACTTGGTATTTTATCTATTTCCCTTTGACCTTTATTTTCTATTTCCATTGCTTTGTTTCTGTTTCATTTAATTTCAGGTTTTCAATAAGGAAGAATAAATAAAAAAGACGAGCAGTACTCTCCAGAACGATAAGTTCACTTAAACATTTCAACATTTCTATTTTATTTACCATTCTTTCCAAGATTTATCACACTGAGGACAGTGTGAAATAAGTCTGGGGGAGGATGTTCATCCGTTACTAATAAAATTTGATTTGTTTTGAGTTTGTTTTGGACACATAAAATTTTTCAAAAAGTTTTTTTTTCAAAATGTTTTTCAAAAATTGTTTTCAAAAATGTTTTTCAAAAAGTTTTCAAACCAGGAACACAATAAACATTACTATGATGAATTAGACCAGTGTGCTTCTACGCTATTTCCTCGTTTTTTGCTCTTTTTGTGATTTAGGCCTAGACTAGGCGGTAGCTAAGTACTTGCATTACGAAATTCCACCAGAGGACTTCTGTTCTTGGAGATTCTTTCTGACAGGATATACTAGCTCATTTTATATGGACTTAATTTTGACTTAATTTTCTCATTAAAGCGTTAGATCAGGGAAACGAATCATACATTCAGGATTCCTTTATCCTTTTACCACTCTTTGTTGATCTTGAATGGCTAGTTCATCTTTAGCTAGTTCCCCACCGAACCTAACCTCTTTCAAACCACAAGCACTCTTGTTTTTCATTGTCCTATATGCAGATATGTGCAAAAACGTCGGAGAAAAAGAGGATCAACGCGGTTTTCAGTCACTGAAGACGGAGACCTGCGATTTCATTGGAATGATTCAACAAAAGGAGATAATTCAGTTTGCCTTGGAAAAACTTCAAAATCTTGGTACAATTTCGTCCCTTACACTCTCTCTTTATAAAAGATTATTTCCTCTTTCAAAAAAAAAAAAAAAATCCGAGAAAGAAAAGAAAAATATGAAGGAGAGGAAAGTAAAACCTTAGAGAGTCTAGGAGGATCGGATTTTATACTCGAGGCAAGCTAGATCTGACTATATGGAGTTTTGGAGATTATCTTTATGATTCCCGCAAAAGATCTAAGTCTAGGGGGAACAGCTGTTTACAACAAAGGAGGAAGATTATGCAGCAACGGTTAGATCTTCAGATACTCCCGATGCAAGAATGACATAAAATGCAGTTCCGGAAGAGAGCATGTGCCGGGACCGCGGCCAACACCCATTTTCCCGCGGGTAGAGCCACCGCGACCACGGACTTTGGTCGTTCACTTTCCCGACGACTTAATTAAAGCCCAGATCAATTCCTTTCGTTATTTTTGAAGCCCTAAGTGTCCAGGACCACCCCAGAAGCTATAAATACCCCATTTAGGTCATTTTAAAGAGGGGAATCGAAGGAGAGACAAACTTAGAGAGAGAGATAGAGATTTTCGGCTTCTAAACCCTAGGAGGCTGCCGCCCTTGGAGGAGGAGCCGCCGCTGGAGGAAGACATCGCGCCTCCGTCGTCGCTTCCGTTCTTCGTTCTTCTTCCTTCTTTTCTTTAATTTCCTGCAACTTTCAATACTCTGTGATGATTGTTTACAATATGTTTGAGTAGTTACCCAGTTGGGTTTAAAGGGATTGTTCAAAGGGAATTTCATGTGTCTTTACTTATGAATCGACAGATTTAGGATTATTAATCTTCTAGATGTTCTTCGTTTGCCTTTAATCTTACTGCGTGATTCTTTGCTGGCCACTTAGAAGCTGATCTGATATGATAGGTTGCGAAAGCTTTCATTGATTGTCTGAACTAGGGTGAAACGAGCAATTCTTCTATAGGAGTGGAAACCTACCTGTAGTTGAGTTGTGAATGTTGATGAGTCTTATTCTGCTATTGCATATTCTCCCTTCCAGAATCAGAGTGGAAACCTACTGATTAGGGTTGCGAGAGATAGTTGTTTAGTGCTGCGAAAGTAGGCTATTCATACTTCCGTGCCTCGAGTTCTAGAACATACGTAGTTGATTACCTTTATCACTTGTTTAAAATTGACCTAGCATAGACTATGAACCCCTGCGAAACCCCTTGATGCCCAACGTTTGTCTTTCATTGCTTACAACCTTTGCTTCTTATTCGATTTTTTCTGCTTTCAATTTGTCTTTGATTTATTCGCTTATTACCTGCTCTCATTAGCCTTAGTTTAATCGCTTCTTACTTGTTTTAATTGCCTTCAATTGCTTTTGTTTTCTTTGCTTTCTAGTTTAGATTTAGTGACAACCAAAACCCAAAACCAAAACCAAAACCTTTTTAGTTCTAATCTGATTTAAGCGTTGCAGTGAATTCGTACTGAAACAACTAAGTCTATGTAGATCGATACCCTAAGTACTACAGCGCACATCTGTGCACTTGCAGACATTTAGGGGTTATAAATTTAAAACCTGAAGCTTAGTAAAACGAAAACAACAACCCCGCGCTTACAAACTCGCATCAGAAACTCATCGGATTGGCTCTTGAATGCATGCGAGAAAGGTGTGTCTCCCGGTGGCGATATCTCTCTACTCACTGCTCCGAGTTCTGTGATTCTAGCTGTTCTGGGATCTTGACTTGATTATCTCCAACTTTGATGAAGACCCCGTTAACTGATTCGGACCAGAAGATTCCCCGGATTTGCAATCTTTGATGCGTGCGTGTGAAAATAGATTTTAGCCGAGAAATGCTTCCTGCGGTAAGGAAAATATCCGAAAAACGCGTACCGTGGTAAGCTTTTTAGCCGATAAAAATTTTCCGTCTCGGCATAAAACTTCACCCGATAGAATTCTCACCTGGTACTGATTTTTAGCCGATAAAAACTACCCGATGGCATTTTTAGCCGATAAACTGATCCAACCGATACATGCTTTTGCCGAGAAACTCCAAAAGCGGTTTTCACCATTTTTAACCCTTTTCTTCACCATTTCAACTCCTGATCACACCTCTTAAACTCCAAATAGCCTCCAAAGCACCTGATAAAGACTCCAAACCATGCAAAACTCTTTGAGACCTAATGCAAGCCCTAAAGCCTAATTTGATGCCTAAAGACCAAAAATGAATGAGAAAACACATGATTTGGACTCTAATATGCAGCCTAAATGATACAAATTATAGACATATGAGTAGCTTATCAAGAAGTGGTATAAGATGGATCCAGCGTCTATTCTTAGGCTCGAAATCTTAAACACACTTGTTGGCCTATTCCTTGGTCTAACAGAGGACAAAACTCATGAAGGTCCAGCAGTGGACAAATTAGTTTGTGAAGCTTTCGACGGAGCTAGCCATAATTTTTACTGTGGTCAATTTTAATTTATAATGTATTCTGAACAAATTTTATAGGGGTCATTAAGCTAAATTTTCAATATTTCTAATTATTTTTCCTTCCAAAAGTACAAGTATATATAATTTTTTTAGAAATTCACATGCGTCATTTGACCCCCCTCATTACAAGCTGCCTTCGTTTTCCTTTCTTGGTCATATACAATAAATGTTAACCGAGTCTGAATTGTTTTACTTTCCATACCCACTTTGTAGTCCAAGTTATATCGCATATCAAATACAAACTAAAAATTTTGCAAAGAAAAAAAAAAATTGATATAGCTCTATATTTTCTACATATCTATAGTATTCCTATAGTATATAGCTTTCTCATTTGAGGCAGACCAGAGCCAAACGTACATTTCCAGAACCGAAACAGACTTCTTAATCTTAGACCATCATCAATAGGAAAACCCCATAAGGAGTTTTTAACTAATTTTTTATTATAAATTTTATCTAAGAACTCCACAACTTTATTAATTTGTTTTTTCTCCTCTAATAGTAGAACCTTTTATGAGTTTCTTAATAAAAAAAATTATAAAAATTACATTGAATGAAATTTGAAACATACAACAAAATTCGAAACAACTTTTTAAAACTTGAAGTTAAGAAGAAGTTTTTTTTAAAAAAATTATTTATTTTTTAAAAAATTTAAACAAAAAAATAAAGAAAACTGGCAAATTAAACATCGACATGTGGCTATGAACTCCCACTAAAATCTAATTTTAAAAATTCTTATTTAAGGACCGATTCTTAACAGAAAATAGATTTTTCATTTAATTTTAATTTTTTTTTTGCCTTATGAATCCTATTAAGAACTCTATTAATCATGCTTTTTATGTTTGTTGTCCTACCCACTGCGTCAAACTCATATACCACAGCTTTTGCAGTAACATTACACAATCTTTTGTTAAATAACAAATTAGCCCCATAATAATCAATAAAATGAATCCAATACCCAACAATTAGTTGGCAACAAACACAGAGAGACACAAACAATGAGTCCCAGTTAAAGTATGAAACCTCAAGGAAAATGGAAAAGGAAAAAAAAAACCCACAAAGTCCTAAAAGACCAGATTAGCTTCCCGGTAAGAAAGTCCACAAATTCTGATCGATAACCTATCTCGATCATTACATAAACCAATCACACAAATCCGGAAACATAGAAATAAAAACATCCAAAACATTATCTAATAATGAAACTGATAAATAGTTAGACCTTCTAAGTTTGTAGATATATTATTTTTGGTAGGGTAGATTTGAAATTTGGTTTTAGACCAAAGCAATGCTGCTTTCTCCACCGGGTGGTTTGCGAACGCCACCGAAGTAGTCACGAGACTGAGCCTTTGCATCCGCAAATATGTCATTGCCGCTTATCTCCTTCAACTTCGCCGTGCTTAGTAGCTTCTCAGCCGTAGCCGCGGACGGAGACGACGTAACATCTCCTTTGAATATGTTATTTCCCGACAACTCCGTGAATTTCCTGTCCGGAATCTTCTTGGCCGTCTTCAATTCCCCGTCCTGCGAATTTTAGTGATTATGGCCAAATATCCTATAACAACTAGTGTTGAATCATCTATACTTCCGATGTAAATAGAAGTTTAGAGAGCCTTACAGGTTTCGTGTCCGATTCGCCCAAGTCGAAGTTGTCTTTATAAGCCAACGCACGAACAGTAGGACGAAGTTTGATTTCAGGTGGTGGAGCAAAAATGTTATGACCACTTAGTTCCTTAAACTTAGAATCCGAGAATTGCTTATTAAGCTTAGCATCAGATTGGCTCTGCAATGTACCACTGAGCTCACGCTGCTTCGCCACTTCGGGCACCGTCGATGGTTTCTTTGGTGTAACAATCTCTTCTTCCCCAAACGAAATGTGACTTACAATTGCTGCTGGTGGCTGCTAAATAATCCAAAACACATGATCAATAAACTAATAAAAAAATTAACAATAATTCACAAGAAGAAAGCAGAACAAAACAAAACCTGGTACGTTCTTGTTTTGCCGTTTGTTCCAGGATTTGCACTTCCGGTCTCAGAAGCATCATTTTCTTCATAAACAGAGAATATTCCACTCCCTGTGATCTCTTTCATTTTGTAGTTTGAACAAGGCTTCCTACAAAACAAAAACCAATTAAATTCAAATTAAACCAAATTCTAATCCGATTTATGTGGAAATTACCAAAAAAGACTTTCAGTGTTTCTATTGAATTAGGAGAAAGAGACAAAATTAGAGAGAAGCGTGGGTGATACAAACGAGATCAAGAAAAGGAAAGTAATTTAAGAGATTACCATATATGTTCCAAAGTGCATTTAATTATAAAACTCTCTCCTAACGAAAGAATCACAAAAAACATTCTATAGGGTCCATTAAACGACAGGATCATCATCAAGTAGCAAACTTGACAGATTCTTCGTACTTGTTTGTTGCGCATATAATAATTATATAAAAAGGACCGTTTGTTTTTTCTTTTACAATTCAGAGAAAAAAATCGTCAGATCTTTCTCACCTCTTGTTCAAGCTCTCAACTTCTTCGTCTGTAACTTGTCCTCCAAATACCACTTTGCTGATTCCATCCGACGGCTAATATTATTTCCCCAAATTCAAAATTTTCAACCCAAAACAAAAGTCAGAACGAATGAAATCAATTTTCCAAAAACAGAAATCAGAAACGAATCAGATTCAAATTTTTTTTAAAAAAAACCAGAACGAATCGGTTTGAAAAATTAAAAAATAAAAACGCTTCAAATTTGAAAAACAAAAATAAGAACGAATCAAATAAAAAACGCTTCAAATTTGCGTGAACTGAATTTGAAAACAAGAATAAGAACGAATCAAATTTAATATTCTAAATCAAAAATCAAATTCAGTTGTTCAAGAAAACAAAATCAGAGTGACTGAATAGATCGCGAAATTTAGTATTACCTGGTGCGATCTGGTTACGGAGCGAGAAGCTGCGGCGGCGGGAGACTCGAACGGTTGATTCTCCGGCCAAGTGAGTAGATCCGCCGTCGAAGTGTGTGGTTTCCTCATCGGCGTGCTTTTCTCCATTGCAATTTCTCGATTCTTCACCAAAAATCAACAAAAACTCAGAAAAAAATCCAAAGAAATGGGAGAGAGATAGAGAGAGAGTACGTTGATGTAGGGTAAAAGCTTCGATGCAACAATAATGGCGGATTTGGTATAAACGAATTCGAGAGACAAAGGAAGAGTAATAACAAAAGGAAGCGTATGTATAGAGAGACGACGAAAAGAGTGGAGTGGTAGCTACTCTTCTTCTGTTTCAAAACAAACGCTTTAAAAAAAATGTAAATGACTTTTTCTCTGTATATTAATAAAATATATATTATAATACACAGTGATGCAGAGGATTACCTCTGCGCGTCTGTTTAAATCCCAACTGGTGAATATTTTGAATTAAGTACCGCCTTTGCCTATTGGATGCCTTTTTTAAAAAATAATTGAAAGAATTACAAATACTTTTAATTATTCTCTTGGGCATGTGATCGACTCTTTTATGTACTGGACACGTGACGGTATTAGCTGGAGAATTACCTACTGTAGCCGGTTTAGTTTTTTTGTTTTTAATTCAAAATATTAGGTTTTGTTAGCTTCACCAAATTACCCTTACACTTAAAGAAAAGTTGATGTTTTTTTATTTATTTTTATTATCAATTTCCACGCCTAAAGAATCGATTTTCTTTATTTTTGTTTAATTATTTAATTATACTCTTTTACTAAATTTTAGAGTTTGTTAAGGTTAATACAACAGACAAAGATAGACATAAGGTAGATTGAAAAGATATTTTCGTCTATATAAATTTTTTGTTTTGGCATATTTTTATTTGAAACTTCACAACAAACTAGCAGTCGTTTGGTCGTTGATGATAATAAAGCTACTAGATAATTGACGCGACGTATATACATAAATACTTTAGAATTATATACAAAATTACATATTAAATTTATAGATAATTATTTTATATAATTATTTATTTTTAAATTTTGTTACTTTTTAGCTTTTTAATTGGTTATTTTGAAAATTAAAGATTTTAAAATTTATACTCTCTACAAATATTTGTAATAAATTACTGATATAAAATTTATTTTTACCAATGTTTAATTGACCTAACTTTATTATATATAACACAAAACATAATGTAAAAATAGGAAAAATAAACAGTATTAGATCTTTAATGAAAAAAACATTAATAAATTTTTTTTAGAATACATTTTAAGTATGAGCGTTCAAAATAAGCTTTTTGAGACAGTGAAATTTAAAGAATGGAAGGTTTAACAAAACTTTACTGTATTTGAAAACTGTTGTAATAATCCAAACGTCATGCACTTGGATGATATTCACAACCCTCAACACACAGATGATCACAGATTCATGGCAGCTAAGTAGAAATTCTAAGAAATACTCTGAATAATCACCATTTAGGTGCGTTTGTAGACGAAGACTGCTACAAATTATTAGAACCCATGAGATTGATATCAAGAATAAACATGATAAAAATTACACAAAAATGGAGTAAACTATTTTAAATAACATCAATCAAACCTCTCGTTTGCAACTTCGAAAAACACATTCCCACAACAATGGCTTCGTTTTATGGAAGAACGGTCAACAAAATTTCTAACACATACTACTTGACCAATTAAATATACAAAGAAAATAGTCATTGTTTTTTTTTCTTTGAAAAGTTTAAATATGAATTGTGATAAAAAGGTTATATGGAAATAAAGTACCTATAGAAATCAAAGTCTCCACCAATCCGGTTTTGATGGTATCAAATTTTATGAAGTTACTAAGAGAGAACCCTTGCTACGCACGAATTTTGTTTTATTTTGTTTTCTAAGTGAATATGCTTTCGATTTTTTATTTAACTATCAATTTTATTTCTAGTTCCTTCTGATGTGTGTCTGCATGAGGGTGTCAAGTTTTACCCTTAATAAAAACAAATGAAAACCGCAAGTGCACAACTAATCAGTTGTAGTATTTAGGGATCGAATCCACAGAGATTTGTGTGCCTGGTATTCTTCTACGATTTCTAACTTTATGTCTAGACTAGATTGATTTTAGAGGTTGGTTGTTTGTCTCGGATTAAACTAAAACAAAAGAAAGCAAATAAATCTATCCTAGAAAGCAAGTAGGAAAATCGAATGAAAGCAAATGAAACAAGCAAAATATCGAACTAAAGCAATTGAAATGCAGATCTAAATAAGCAAGCAGAAATCGATTGGTTTGTAAATTATGACTAAAAACGTTGAGCTTTCGGGAACTCTACAGGGATCATAATCGGTTTTAACACTAGGGATGATAGACTGGGATTGACGGATATCGAAATATAGGGTTCTAGAGCTAGAGTACGGCGGTATGACTACGTCACTGTCGTGATCATAACCAACTGTTTCTCGCAACCCTGACCAGTAGGTTTCCACTCTGGCCCTGGAAGGGAGATAATGCAAGATTTGCACAAGACTCGTCAATACTCACGATCTCGCCGCAGGTAGGTTTCCACTCCCACGGAAAAATCGCCTGTTTCATTCTAGGTCTGATACTTAATGAAAACTTTCGCAATACTAACTATCTAGATCAGATACTAGGTGATCAATCAAGCATACATGCAATAAGAACGAGAATAAACAGAGAACAAAGTTAAAATCCCAGATCTATAAACCTAGATGTTTTAATCGATTATGAGAGCCCCTTTCGGGAACCCTAAGCCCATCTCGGGATCTACTCAGACATGGCTGAGGTCGACATCATCATAGGTTTTAATAAAAGTAATCAAAAACAGTAAAGAAAAGAGATGAAAGAAAGCTTCTCTGCTGAAGAACTCAGACTTGAACAATCTTCTATAAAAATCGCATAAAACGGCTAAAGGAAAAGGGTTTCTGTAAAAGTATGAAGGTGGTGTCTAAAAATGACCTAAATGACAAGTATTTATAGTCTTCAATAATCCATGGTCTCTAGTATTCCGGAATTGAGGCTGAGAAATGACTTTGGGCTTCAGAAATATGGGCTTTAATTCGGAGTTGGCCGGCCGCGGTCGGGAGTAACGTGACCGCGGGAAATAGGTGGTTGGCCGCGGTCGGGAGTAACATGACCACGGGAGATAGGTGGTTGGCTGCGGTCGGGAAGCTTGTGACCGCGGGGAATGGGCTGGTGGCCGTGGTCGCGTGACTTGCTGGCCGTCTTTGAGTGGCTCCAGGGCTAATGGAATATCTTGAGATCCAACCGTTGAAATGTCTCCAAACCAAGCGCATTTGAAAGCTGGTTGATTCTTCTATAAGTTGTACAATTTTGAGGGTGATCAGACGGTGAGAAGGTCTTCGTCTCTCCATGAGAGTTCTGACGGTCTGTATTTATCCAAAAGAGTCTTTTTGTTCCAATTTGTGCCTCTTTATCCCAAATTACCTGAAAAGTCTTTTAAAATCCGAAAACATAGAAATCCTTTGAAAACCTTTGAAAATGGAGTAAAAACACCTGTAAAAGACATTAAAGTGATCCATAAAAATGGTCAAAATCTGGTGTTATCAACTCCCCCAGACTTAGTCTTTTGTTTGTCCTCAAACAAAAGAAAAGCCAAATCTCGGTGAGAGGTTTGAAAACGCAGGAACTAAACAAAATCTCAGAGACCAAACTTCTAGACCAATATCAATCATTATGCATCAATCGGGAATAGCCTAGAAAATTCTCACTAGCAATACGGGCATAACTAGTCCGTTAATCTGTCATGCGGAAATCTATTGCACTAAGATCTAACTTCCAGTCAACTAGCTCTTAACATTCATTAAAAATCTTGGTGGTTCTCATCAAGGAAAGTATAGGCAAGGCAATCTAGGCTAGGTGTAAAAAGGGTTATTCTAGGGGTAAGGCTTAAAGTGTTTATGGGTTACCTGAGGATCTGGAGGATGCAAGATATTATGCAAAACCGCAAGAGAGAGTGAAGCTGTCGGTATCCACAGTTTTCAGTCACTTTCTTCTTGCCATAGATTCCTGGTCTTCTTCCTCAGGTTCTCTCCTAACCACCCTAGACTTAGATTTTTGTAAATCTTTCAAAACCATAGCTCTTTAAACGAATTGTGGTTGCTTCTTGCTCCAAAAAAATTTGACAATCTAAGACTCATTAGGCTTTTTATTTCCCTCTCTCTTTTCATTCATTTTTTTTTTCAAGAGGGAACACCTTTAGATATAGAGTCATAGAGAGCACGAAATTACCAATTAAAATCAGTCTTGTAAAGCTTAATAAGGTTTCTGATACTCTTCCTTCCCAACTCCATTCAGTCTTCCTTGTGAGTGACCGAAAATTGAGTCGCTCCTCTTCTCTCCGACGTTTTTGCACATATCTGCTGATATAAACTAAAGAGAGAATACATGAGGATTGAAAACAAGGGTTTTGGGTTTAGGGTATGGTACCAGATAAAGATGAACTGGTCATCTAGGACGACAAAGAGTGGTAAAAATGAGGGTAAAAGACATCCTAGATGTGTATGTCGATGCCTGCCTAAAATCAATGATGAGAAAATTGGATATCAATATTAAGGTCAAATAAAATGAGCTAGTATATCCTGTCAGAGAGAATCTCCATGAATAGAAGTCCTCTGGTGGGAGTTCGTAGTGCAAGTACTCTAGCTACTGCCTAGTCTAGTGCTAACTACAAATGAGCTATCATGCATAGTGTAGAAGCATGCAGGTCTAAATCATCATAGTTTTGTGTCAAACATTCCTGAAAAATACTTAAAGTCGAATATGTTACATATTAAAATTTAAAAAGTGCTTGAAATTTGAAAGCAAAAGCAAGAAAATGATTAGTACGGATAGACATCCTCCCCCAGACTTAAATCACACTGTCCCCAGTGTGAAAAAAGTTGGTGAGAAGATGGTGGATAAAAGGGAAAATAAAACAAGATGAAAGAAAAGAAAATGATGATAGAACCGTGATGGCTGTCAAACGACAGTGAAGTGCTGATCAATCACTCATCCTCCGATGTGTCTGCTTCGAACTGGTGCTGCTCCTGTAGGAAAGTGACAACGCGTTCAAAGCGTCGTCCTTGTCTCTCAACTCTGCGCTCCAGGTCAGAATGTGTGTGTGATGATGTCAATGATGAAGTGTGGTCTGTCGAAACAGATGGCTGAAAATGAGCACGAGCCACAGCTGCATCTCGCTTTGCCTTGGCTATTATGGTAGACGAGGCACAGATGGCAGAAACTCATCGGGTTCTGGAGTCCATCACGGACGTCCTCCGTTACACAATCTCGGGACTGATGCTGAAGGTAAACAGACTCGGTGCTCCTCGGTGCCAG